GTCACGCCGCAATCCCTTCTCCTCCATTCTCCTCTCGGGATCTTGGGCACGCACGCACGCACACGCGCCCGGCGTGAGTTTTAAGCCACCGGGTCCAGGATGTGAACCGCGGTTGACTACATGGGAGTCCAGCGACATAGCCATTACGCTAACTGCTGGTTCCCAACTCCATGTTTTTTAAAAGGCCTGGAGAACATTTATCGGGTGCCTCTCCTCTCTCCCTTTGTGTTCGTCATTTTGGTTAATTACTGGAAGGTGGCGGTTCTGACCAAAAGCCGTATAAAGATTTTTTGAAGGGCCAGCAGATGGCGTAGCAGTTATCGCTGGAAACTGCTAACCTTGATTCGAATCCTAGATCTGACGGCTTGAAACTCAAGCCAGGCATGTGTGCGTGTATGCCCAAGATGCTGGGAGAAGAGTAGGAGGAGAAGGGATTGTGGCATGGCCATCCCCCTGGGGGATGAATTTCTCAATTTTCCTCTCACTGTCTCTCTCTCTCTCTCTCTCTCTCTCTCTCTCTAGCAAGCACATACACCCTAAGACAAAAACTTCTCAAAAAAAATTTGTTAAGCTCATTCATAGCTTTTTTGAGCAATACCTATTGTCCATAAACTTTTTGAAGAGGCTGCCTATGGGTTTCACAGCTTTCATTTATGTGTTGCTTTTAATTTTTTCCTTTCATTTCTTTCCTGAACTTTACGAGTTAATTTTTAAACAACTTTTATTAACATTTTCTCTAGGCACTTGTATCACTACATTAAGTTCTTTTTTCTTAAGTTATTTGAAATTATGAGTAGGTCGTTGGTTGGTCCCCTGTTTTCGTTTGATTGTTGCCATCATTTTTCAGCTTTATGTTCTTTAAGTGTTCATGTTACCTAATTGACTCACTGCTTGTTAGAGATTGTGGGTTTATTCCTTCCTTTTGGATGATATGGGGTATCTGATACCTAGCTATTTGCAGAAGATCTTTGTGAGAGAAAAGCCAGGGCAGTAATCCAAACCTGCAGGTGCTGACATGCCATGTATGTAAATTGTTTTCCCTTTACTTTCACCCAGCATAGAATTGGCAGCATCAGGGCTACTTACAACTCTTGAGTTTCTTGCTTTAGTCTAGTCTCATTGTTAAGCAGCAGCTTATCAAAATGTATCACTGTGTATACTGGTTCAGTCTTAGCTTTCCTGACGCTCCATGGTAAAGAAGAGGATCCCGCCCCACTGAAATCCATTAACCTGTGAACTCCCGTGTTGTTCAAAAAAGGGATTGTTATTTTTGCTGAAAAAGTGAGTTACCTGCCTGGGAGACCTGCTTTGACAGGGTTGAGATCTGCTGCTGCAGGCATCATTTTTTCAGCATCTTTGCATATTCCTGTATGACCTTGACTTTTTTTTTTTGGGGGGGGCATCCTTTCTAATGTGCTTAAGAGTTAGATCTCTCTTAGTTTCAGTGGAGATGAAATTTGCATTTTTGTTATTCATCTTTGTAGTTATTTGGGGTCATTTATAAGAAGCAAAGGGAACAAAGATATCTTAACTTCACACTCTAACGTCAAAAGTCACAAGAACATTTTAAATATAAAGGTGTGGTAAAGGTGAAACAGAAGGATTAACTTGTAAGTAAACTGAGGCACTATATATGCTGTTAATTCGGCTACCTGCAAATGGAATTGCGGTTAGATGCTCCTTGATTTATGATGGGGTTACATCCTGATAAATCCATCATAAGTTGAAAATATTATAAGTCTAAAATGTATTCAATACACCTAACTCAAATGTTGTAGTTTAGCTTAACCTAGCTACTCGAAATGTGCTCAGAAGACTTGTATTAGCCTGCAGTTGGGCAGTATCATCAGACAACACTGATGATACCACAGAGTACCACAGAGCATCAGTTTTGTGTTCTCGTGGTCACATGGCTGGCTGGAAGCTCTGGGAGCTTTCTCTCAGAGTGGCATGCTGCATGGTACTTGCTCTGGAAAAGATCAGAATCTGAAATATGGTTTCTGCTGAATGCATATCGCTTTCACATCGTCATAAAGTTAAACTGACATGGGGCCAACAGGTGACATAGTGGTTAAGGGTGCTGGACTCCCACATGGCTGACCACGGTTCGCGTCCTGGACCTGGCAACTTGCTTTCTCACTTTCTCTTCTCTCTCCCTCCCTTCATCCCTCCCTCCCTCTCTCTCTCCTTCCCCCCTCCACCTCTCCCTTCCCATCTCTTTCCTTCCTTCTGTCCCTCCTTCCCTCTCCCTTCCTCCTTCCCTACCTGGTCAAATTCCTCTCCCTTCCCATCCCTTTCTTTCCTTCTGTCCCTCCTTCCCTCTCTCTCCCTTCCTCCTTCCCTACCTGGTCAAATTAAAAGAAAGAGAGAACAAGAGAGAAGAAAGAGAGAGAGGGAGGGAGAGTAAAAAGAAAGATCTGGAAAACAAAACAAAAAAAATTGAACTGTCATAACTCTCAATAGAAGTAACAGGATGGGAGGAGTTGCAGTCTAATTGCCATGAATCATTTTTCAAGTTAGGGAATATCTGAGCTTTGTTTAAAATCCTATGGAAAGGAGAGATTGCATATTTGGAGGCTTTGGTGAGTATTGGAACCCAGTGTTATGGAAGTGTTAGAACCAAGGACATGAATGGGCAGAGTCAGAGAAATGAGAATGTCTCAGCCCTTGAACTTGCCTCATTATTATGTGAAGTTTCTGCTAAGTAAAACAACATTGTGATACTTTAAGTTTTTTTTAATTAGATGCCTGTTTTACAGAATTACATTTGTTATTTATATGTCAACTATAAAATAAAGGTTTGTATACAACCATAGACAAGTAATATACTTCCTCTGAAAGGAAGCTTGGTTTGTGCACGTCAATGACCTAAGTCCACCCTCTCCCTCAAGTCTCTTTTTAATGTTTTTATTTTGATCTTTGACAGTGGCTTGAACTTGGCACCTGTAGCACGACTCAGAGGTACTTGGGAAAAGTTACCAAGCAAATATGAAAAGCATCTCCAAGATCTACAAGACCTTTTTGATCCATCTAGAAATATGGCAAAGTATAGAAATATTCTGAGTAGTCAAAGCATGCAGCCTCCAATTATTCCACTCTTCCCTGTTGTCAAGAAAGATATGACATTTCTACATGAAGGTATTAAAAGAGTTACTTGAAAATTAGCATGTTTTGCTGCAATTAATTCTTCAGAATTATGGTTTATTATATTGAAATATATTCCAATCTAATGATTTTATGTTACTAAAGCTTTGCACAGTTAAATGCAGCAAGTTTTAGGACTCCAGAAGCTACATTATTGATCAGAACAAAATATTTACTGCATTCTTCAAAATATCAAATATGATTAAATAGTTTATGTCAAGTTATGTCACACACAAGTCAAACTGTTTAATCATATTCGATATTTCACTTAGTGCTATTTTTCTTTCCAAGATTTTTTTAATTGAATTGCTCAACACATACAGGAAAGTGCCCTAAACAAATGTACATCTAATGATTTTGACAAAGCAGACACCTATATCAGCACCCAAAAATATTGAAATATGGCCAACATCCCAGAATCTCTTCTCATCCCACTTCCCAAAGGCCACCCTCATCTTCTTCCCCAAAGTTAGTTACTGTTCTGATTTCTTTTTCTTTCTCTCTTTTTTTTTTTTAAGTGAGATTTTGCTATAGGGCGAGTGTGCTCACCGGAGAAATAGAAAGCAAGAAAAATCACCCTGCAGGGGGAATGGCCGTTCCACAGTCCCTTCTCCTCCAGTCTCCTCTCGGGATTTTGGGCACATACACACTTCCAACATGAATTTTAAGCTGCCAGGTCTAAAACTTAAATCGCAGTTGACTACCTGGGAGGCCAGCGACATAACCGTTACACAATCTGCTAGTCCCACTGTTCTGATTTGTAATGTTGCAGTTTAGTTTTTAACTGTTCTTGAACTTTATAAAAATACAATCATAGTGTGTTTGTTGTCTTATTTTTTTTATTTTTATTTGTTTTTTGTTTGTTTGTTTGTTTGTTTTGGGGGGGAGAGAGAGATTTTTCTATAAGGCGATGTGCTCACTGGAAAGACCGAGATGAAAGCGAGAAATCACCCCCCAGTGGGGTATGGCCATGCTACAATCCCTTCTCCTCCATTCTTCTCTCAAGATTTGGGGCACACATGCCCAGCATGAGTTTTAAGCTGCCAGGTCCAGGACTCATCAGACCCCTGTCAACTGTGGGAGTCCATTACACCATGTACTGGTCCCTAATGCCTTATATTTTAGTTTGTTTTGTTTTCTGGCTTATTTTGGCCAACATTAAACTTGAGATGGTTTCATGTTATTGAGTGTAGTTGCATTTCATATTCAAAACTAACATTTTGATTGTATGAATATAATACAATGGATTTATCCTTTCTGTTGGACATTTGGTAGTTTCTACTATTGGCCTTTTATGGATAGTTCTGCTGTGGATATATTTACACATATCTCTTAATTTACCTGTGTTTTGTTTGGTTTCGTTGAGAGATTTTTGCTATAGGACATGCGTGCTCACCAGACAGACAGAGGCAGAGAGACAGAAAGTGAGAAATTTCCCCCTGGGGAGTGGGAATGGCTACACCACACTCCATCTCCTCTCAGGATTTTGGGACACACACAAACCTGGTGTGACTCTCAAGCCGCCAGGTCAGTGACTCATAACTGTGGTCAACCATGTGGGAGTCCAGTGCCTTAACCACCATACAGCCTGCTGGCCCCAGTGTACATGTGTTTTTATTAGCTTTATGTTATAATTGGAGTAGAATCGATGGGTCCTGATATTTGTATAAACATCTCTAGAAAATTATTTGGCATTATCAAGCATGAGTTCTTTTTTTTAAAGAGTGGTTTATTTAATTAATTTATTTATTTATTTAAATTTGCTATAGGACACATGTGCCCAACAGAGAGAAACAGGAGAGAGGAAAAGTAAGAAAGTAAGCCACCAGGTCTGGGATTCAAACCGCAGTCAATTACATGGCAATATAGCACCTTAGCCACCTGCCAGCTTCGAGCACTGCGTTCTTACATTCTTTATCATCATGAACACCTGATAAATTCACCTTTTTTATTTTCATTTGCTCCAGTAGCTATGTAATCAGGTCTTGGTGTAGTTGTAACTTACACTTCCTCAATTACTAATGAGAGTGAGCACACTTTTATATATGTATATATTTATGTATTCATGTGTGTATTATACCTATGTGTATATATAAACATATTTGTATATATGTCCTCTTATTAATTACCAGTTCAGGTTCTTGCCCACTTTTTAAATTAGGTTGTCTTTTCGTTTAATTCATTTAATATATTTGAAAGGGAGTTAGATATCTGTGTATGATCTGACTTGTTTTTGATTCTTTTTTTTTTAATTTTTTTAATTGAAGAGGTTTGTTTTTGTTATAGGTCATGTGTGCTCTCCAGAAAGACAGAGAGAGACAGAGAGGAAGTGAGAAATCACCCCCAAGGGAGGGATGGCCATGCTGCAATCCCTTCTCCTCCATTCTCCTCTCAAAATCTTGGGCATGCACACAAACGTGCCCAGCATGAGTTTAAGCCACTGAGTCTGGGACTTGAACTGCAGTCAACTATATGGGAGTCCAGCAACATAGCCATTATGCCAACTGCTGGTCCCGTTTTTGATTCTCTTAAGGTAATCTTTCGATGAACAGAGTTTTTAGTTTTGGGGGGTTTTTTAGTTGTTTTTCAATTTTACAAAATTTATTTGAGCAAGAAAAAGGTTGTAAAGTAAGGCAACATTCCAAATCGAAGATGGTTCGACATCTCTTAGGAATCCAAATTAACTGATATGTTACCTACAGGGTTATCTCCAGTCCACCTAAATTATGTTACCTACAGGGTTATCTACAGTCCACCTAAATTGTGCCTGATTTTTGTGTATGATATTTGTTCACACTTTATTAACAGGCATAAGTTATGTTGCTATTTTTTCTGCAGTTACATTTGATATTATACCGTGTATATTCATTAATATTAATTAATTTAATGTTTATTCCTTTGTGTATATCAGGCAATCAAGGGACTTAGGCCACTTAAATTTTATTTACTTACTTCCTTATAGGTTTTATAGTTGTCACCATGCCTTTAAGTTCTACAAGATATTATTATTATTTAATAAAGTTAGTATTTATTTAACCTTATCTGTAGATTTACTTCAGTTGTTCCTGTTTTTTATTTCTTCTTGTATTTCAGATCTTTCATAGGGTTGAATGGTTTGGTTTTTTAGGTGGCTTTTGATTTGACTAAGAGATTGTGTAGAATTCCATTAATTGCAAGTCCACTGATGGTAGAAATCACTTTTTGTTTTTTTAATCTTAAAATACCTACATTATTTTTCAGAGGCATGTTTTTCGTTGGCATCTACCTTCTTTCAACACTTTGAATAACATCCTGCTGTCTTTCAGTTTCCATTGTCAGTGTCAAGTCAACTTTTGGGGTCAGCAGGTGGCATAAGTGGTTACATCACTGGACTCCCACATGGCCGACTGTGGTTTGAGTCCCAAACCCAGTAGCTTGAAAATCATACCAGGTGCATTTATGTGTGTGCCCAAGATCCCAGGAGAATGGAGAAGGGATTGCAGTGTGGCCATCCCCCCTGAGGGAGGTGGTTTCTCACTTTACCTCTTACTGTATCTCTCTCTCTCTGGCAAGCACACTTGCCTTATGGCAAAAACCTCTTTAAAAAAAAAAAAAAACTGTCAGTCTTATCTGCTGTTTCTTTAATTATGATCTCCCTTCATTCAGTAGCAGCTATTATGATTTTTGTGTCTTTTTATCTCTGCTTTTCTCTAGTTTTGCTATGTGATATGGCTAGGAGAAGGATTTTTATTTTTTGTTTCTTTGTTTTAATTCTGATTGATGTTTATAGGACATTTTGAAGTCTGTGATTTGATATTTTTCATCAGTTTTAGAAAATTCTCAGTAATTATTTGTGTCTTTTTTTTGTTGTTGTTAAAGATAAAGTCTTGCTATCAGCTTCCCACCTCGGACTATAGTTGTGTGCCACCATACCAAACCCGTTTTTTAAGACAGTGTCTCACTTTGTTGCTCAGAGCAGTCTTGAGCTCGAGGTCCTACAGCCTCAGCCTCCCCACGTTGCTGGGATTACAGGTGCATGCCACCATATCTGGCCTTTGAGTTAGACTGGACTCAAACCCAGCCCTCCCGATAGGCCCAGACTATGGAGCACAGCATCTTAGCAGTGTGCCCACTGTGGCTTTTGTAAGCCCTCTGTGACCACTCCTGTAGGGATTTTGATTTTACCTCTTTTAGACTTTCTATGCCCTTGTCTGTTTTCTGTAGTTCTCTTCTTTTTGTCTAACCATGCTTAATTTAGATATTTTTTTCTACCCTATTACCCAGGTTATTAATTCTTTATGCCTAATTTGCTGTTAAGTTCATCACTGAGCTCCTAATTTCAGTTATTATATTTCTCTTTAGTTTCTTTAATTACCTTTATTTTTGTTTCATGTTCTTTGCCAGGCTTCTCAGTGTTGTTTTTTAAGTTTGTTTATTTACATATTTGTGAATGAGAAAGAGCGTGATCAACATTATCTTTTTGTTTTCTTTTTAAGTTTACTTCTTCCATGAGTAAGAGGACAGGCACTCTCAGTAGCATCTTCATCACAATCCACCCCAGTCTCGGCAGGTTGCATACTGATCACAGCCACACACATACACACACACACTGCTAGCGTGCTCAGGGAGGCCCAGGATGCAAACTCAGGACCTACGATGAGGTCCAGTTGTGTTACCACTGTGCCCCTCCTGGCCTTTCTCTAGGATCTTGACCCTGTGATCCAACACTAGCCTCATCCAGTCCTGGATCGTGGGCATGCACGTGCTTGGCTTGTTCAAAGTCTGTCTCTGCTAACTCTGTAGTCTGACTCACCTATGGGTCTGTTGCTGTTGTCTTTTTATTTTCCTTGCATTTTAGTCGCATTAATCTCATGATATACCTGGGTTTTGTTTGTTTTTGTTTTTGTTTTCTTTATGTGAGAGAGAGTGGAAGGAGGAGAGTTAGAAGTTTTTGACCGGATCTCACCAGTGCAGTTCTTTGTCCCAGCCTCTCTCTTAGCTTTGGGTACAGGCACAGGGTACCATGCCCGACTATTATAGTTTAGGCTATCACTTACACTACCATGGCTGGGCCTGTTCCTGATTAATTTTGACTAAGTAATAGAAGCTGTGTATAAAAAAAAAATTAGAAAAATAGTCTGAGGTCTCCATTCTTTCACAGAGGTTTAAACTGGCTTCTGGCAAGCAGCTGGGGGTGCCAGCAATCCAAAATCACTTTAATCCATTTTCAGATACTATACCACTGGTCATTTTAAGTCTGTTTACTTATTTTTTCTCTGGGAGAGAGACAGACAAGTAAGAACCCCCAACAGCGTCTTTATGTGACCTACCTCCAAGTCTTAGCCATCCCAGGTCACAGGCACACATGTGTATCCCTGAAAGAAGGTCTCAGGACGTGAGCCCCAGGCTTTATCCCATGTGGGTCCAGTTGTATTTCCACTGTGCCTTCACTCGGCCCCCAGCGCTGGGCTTTTATCTGAGTCTATATTCAGTTCATCCTTATTCCCAGGATATACATTTTCAGAGTCCTAATTCGAAGCATTGGAGTCCTAGTCATGATGACACACAGATAGCACCACCGTTAGCAGTCTGAAAGTGACAGGAGAGGCCCAGGTTCAGTTCCTGTGCCAATCTGAACACCAAGTGTGACTGCACGTGTCTGCAATCCTAGCTGATTGGGAGACAAGTACACAAGATTCATTTCACAGTTAGACCTTATCCAAAATACCTATCTCTGTCTCTTCCTCCATTTTCTTTCTCTCTCCCTCCTAAAGGCAAAGAAAAAAATCATTGGAGGTTTTGCTCAGACTTAAGTTGCTTTTCCTTTTAGCTCTAAAAGTACATATCTCTACTTAGTTTTTTAGCTCATCATCTCCCTCTTCTAAAATCAGCAAATGAACCTAGGACAAGCTCTGGGAAATGCTTAACCTTCTCTACATTCTGCTCCCCGATCTTCACTGCCTTGTTAATTTTTTGATGCCTTCAAACACTTTTTCTATTTTTATACAACTCTAATCATTGTTGTCAGCAGACAGTTGTTTTAATTAACATAGTTTTCCTGCTCTTTTATCATCACTTTTTTAATAAGTAAATTGTATAGATTTTTATTTTTCTAACATATATCCTCAATACATATTTGTTTGACTTGAAAGTATTTTTGATGATTATTTCATTTCCAATTCACATTGAGACCCAGAATGTTATATAATATAATAATATCCATGTATTAACATGGATCCAATATATAGATGCTATTTACTCTGAGAAGGGAGACCACCACATAGAGCAGACTCATGGTTTTCAGGCTTGATTTCAGGGCCTTGAACTTCCTCGGAAACTCCTTGGGGCCTACATAACAGTTTCCTTTGAGCATACAGTTTTTTGCCTCATGATTTGAACTGAGTCAACGAACAGGCTATGTCTGTTCTCATACCCAGTCTCTTCAAAGAAAAGTAGGCCATTTTGAAAGTTGTAAAGTTATTCTCTGAGAACTATTTCATGAGATGAAACAAATAATGAAACCTACGAACAGCAAATTTGTGTTAATGATTGAAGTTATGGTTGAAAATTCAAATTAAGGAAGTGTGAATGACAGATTGGAAAATGTATGCCACTATGAAGTAGCCACTTCTTAGTTTTGGGGAATTTGTTCTTTTATTTCTACTTTTCTAAAAATATATATATATATTTATTTAATTATACTTATCATTATTAATATGATTTTTTTATTTGCTAAAGGGCACATTACTTTTTTAATTTGCTGAAGTACAAGTGTGCAGAGAGGTGGGGGAGAAGGGGTTGAAAGCAAGCCGCCAGGTCCAAGACTTGAGGTGGCATGTTGATTGAGGGGCTGAACTCCTTACATGGCCCATTTCTTAGTTTTAAGTAATTATTGCCTCTTAGGAAAACAGACCCAATATTATTTAATAGTCCATGCCATACACCTTTTTTTTTCCTTAAGGGAATTCTGAAATGCTTTTCTTCATCGAATATCTGCTTTTTTTTTTTTTAATTGCCAGAATTCATGTGTGCTCACCAGAGTGAGTGAAGAAAGGAGAGAAAGGTAGAGAAAAGACAAAAGAGAGGGAGAGTACCTCCCCCCATGGGCCGTAGTCACACAGCAATCCCTTTTCCTCCATTTCTCCATCCCATCAGAATTTGGGGCATGCACAGCTATGTGGGGTCCAGCTCCCACCCAGTGCACATTGCTTAACCACTGTACTGAAGAACCAATTATCCTCTCTTCCACTTTTTATATGATCACAATTCATATACTAATTTTTAAATGAAATATTTTATTTAACTATATATATATTTTTTTTTTTTTTTAATTTGAGAGACAGAGAGAGAGTGAGGGAAGGTGAGAAAGCAAGCCACCAGGTTCAAGATTTGAACCACGGTCAGCCATGGGGGAGCCCAGTACCCTCAACCATCATGCCACCTGCTTACCCCATAATTTTTTGAAGTACAATAAACCAAAGAAAACTTGTTGTGGGTGGTAGGTTAATTAAGCCCAAAGATGACCTTGTGACTCTAGCAAAGGCTGTTTTTAAGCACTGAACCCTTGTTGTCCAAAGAGCAAATGTAGACAACTGCATGAGCGTGGGCTGAGCATCAGGAAGGTGAGATTTGAGGGGCTGTACTTTTTATAGGTGTGCCTATAAAATAATGAAACTGGGGCAGCAGGGTGTGGAGGTTAAGGTGCTGGTTCTTACATGGCCAGCTGTGCAGTTCGAATCCCAAACACGGTAGCTTGAAAATCACACTGGGCATGTGTGCATGCATATCTAGAATCCCAAGAAAAGACTGGAAGAGAAGGGATTGTGCCATGGCCATTCTCTCTTACCCCCCCGCCCTCCAGGATGATTTCTAACTTTCTCATCTCTCTCGATCTCTCTCTGACAAATGCATGTAAAAAATAAAAAACCCTAAGAGGGACCAGCAGTTAGCGTAATAGCTCTGTCGCTGGACTCCCATGTAGTCAACCGCGGTTTGCGTCTCGGACCCAGTGACTTAAAACTCATGCTGGGTGCGTGTGCGTGCGTGCCCAAGATCCCCAGAGGAGAATGGAGGAGAAGGGATTGCGGCGTGACCATCCCCCCCGGGGAGTGATTTCTCGCTTTCTGTCTCTCTGTCTCTCTCTGTCTGGCTGGCGAGCACACGCACCCTATAGCGGGGGGGGGGAACCTAAGAATAGTAAAATAATAATAAAACTGGTGTTACAAGCCATGCATCGGCTGGGACCTTTCTTATATTTGTTACTCCCATGTGGAACACAATCTTCCTAGTAGCTCATTCCCTGGGAACAGGATTGAGCTATACATGGGTATATCATTTTTTTTAACCTATAGAGTGTGTGTGTGTACACAAGAGGAAAATAGAAAAGCATTCTGAAGGGTCTTGTAATGCCTCGGTCCCCTTTTACCAACCCTCCAGCTGCTCAGGACTCTGGGCACCTATATGTATACCCAACATGATTTTGAACTGAGCTCAGGATCCAAACTCACAGCCAGAAGGCTTCGAAGTCTGCAGGGCACTTGCATTACTGCTACAGCACAGCAGCTGGGCTGGTATATCAGTTCTTAAAAAGAAAAGTGACACTTAGATAAAGGTTTTCATTTGTGCCCCTCAAAAAGAATGTGATTTCTGCTACTTTTATATAGATATTTTCTTTTTGAAAGTTAAAAAAAATTACTTTTGTTCTTTAGGAAATGATTCTAAAGTAGATGGTTTAGTAAACTTTGAGAAATTAAGGATGATTGCCAAGGAAATCCGTCAAGTTGTTCGAATGACTTCTGCTAACATGGACCCAGCTATGATGTTCCGACAAAGGTATGGCACTGAAGTAAACAAAAGGATTACAGAGTGGCACTGAGGGTGATGTAAAAGTAATCCTAGTATTTGTCATTTATCAGTTATCTAACGTTTGTTGTGCACCATGCTAAGTGCTTTACGTATGTCGATTCCTAGTAATTGTGTATCACAATAACTAACAGGTAGGTGATGTTAGCCTTCCTTACATACATGAAGAAATTAAAGCACAGGGGAATGTTTACAGAATTTGCTAAGATTTGAACCCTAGTTTCAGTATTATTTTTATCAATATATGTCAATCTGTATTACTGTTGTTCTGTGAAATATCAGCAATCAACTAGAAGAAAACTGCTGATCTTTACTGAAATTACTGTAGAAAGCAATGTCTTATTCCATTTCTAACATTATTTATTTTTAAAGTATTAGTCTGCATTTTTTTATTTTTACTGAGTATATTTAAAGTTATACTCGTATGTAATTTATACTTCATTCTTCTAAAACATTCCTTTTCTCAAGTTATAATACTGCTATTTGTACATAAATTCTTCAGTATTTAGAGAGTACAAATTTAATCATGCCTTATCTTTATTAAAAATGGAAAATACTATTTTTATTCTATATCGCCTGATCTTCTAAGAATACTTCTTTAAACTCAGTTTTTAAAAATTTGCTGGAGGGTGTGTGCACGTCCTGGTAAGAGAGAGAAAGTGAAAAAGCATTTCCAATAAAGGATGGCCACGCCATAATTGCTCCTCCTCTACCTCTCCTTTGGGGATTTTACCCATTTATACATATTCATGGGTGTGTTTTTCAAGCTGCATGATCCAGGACTCAAACTGCACAGCTGTCCATTTAGGATCCAGCTGCCTTAACCACCATGGGACTGGCTGCCCCTCTGCTCATTTTTAGTGTAATAACAAAAGCTTTTCCAAATTATATAAAGTTTATAGACAGTTTGTTAAGCTGTTCCCAGTAATTTTTATCTATTTATTTTTTTAGGGTATAATATAAATGGTTTTAATTTTTGGTCAGATTTTCTTTTGGGCCTGTGTGTACAATTTCATACATAAGGGCATAAAAAATTAACTAATTTACAGTGGCAGATATAGTTCCTGTGGGGTTTTTTTAGAAGTGTGTTAAGAAAACAAAAACATTTGCTACTTTAAAAACTAGAGTTCTTTTTTACTGTTATTTTATTTTTTATTATTTAATTTGCTTTAGTGCACATGTGCTCATGGGGGGGTGGAGAGAGAGAGAGAGAGAGAAAGAGAGAAAGGAAGCATCCAGATCTGGGTCTCAAATCATGGTCAGCCGTGTAAGAGTCCCACACCTTAAACCCATGCTGCCTAGTAAACCCAAAGTTGGGGTTTTTTAAACCAGATAGAGCCAGTGTGTGTCAGAATTGGGTTTTTTGTTTGTTTTTGATAGCCTTAGGAGTTGTTTCAATTGTTGAGTAGTCTTTATTTTTATAAGTAGTTGATCTGATGGTTGCTGCAGTTCAGAAATCCTTCAAGAATGAAACAAAGAGTGTGCCAGAGCTTCTCTTTCTCCCACCTCTGCCTCTGAGAATCCCTACATGGAATGAGAGCCGTTATTGCTCAACCAAGTGGAAGCAGAAACAGTTAAGAACCAGCAACCACAGCAAACCTAGAGGAGGATTTGTTTGTGTTTCTGTTGTGTGTCTTTGTACAGTGGCCCTACCACTCCCTGTTGTCTCACGTGGCCTCCATTTACCCACATATGTTATCACTCTGGTCCCTGAAGGCAGAATCAGTTTGTGACCCTGCCAGACCAGCTGATGATACACTGTCCCAGCTGTGCTTCATTCAGAATTGAACAAATGAGGAAGAAATTGACGAGGAAATTAATAGACCTGGCTGTTCTCTTGGGAATGGCCTATGTAGATTAGAATAAGGTTCGGGGATAAATAAACATTTATGTTTAGATTGGATGGAATTTTTCCTGAATCCTGAATTTGTCTTCCAGTACTGAAATAGCTTTCTTTAAGCACATTTTGCTAGTGTATGATTATCTAGTGTGGACAAAGTAACCCCTTTTATTTTAATAGTAAAGTGCTGACTAAAAAGCATTCTTTATTCAGTCAAGCAATAGTGTAAAAACATACTATATTAAAGATTTTGATGATACATTTTTATTTATATTTCAAGTTAGATTTGCTGGTCAAATTTTCTTGTAAAATGTATTGTCAGAAATTTCTATGCTTAAATATTAAATTAAATATGTTTATATTTCTTTTAATTTCATCTTATCATTTAAATGAATGGCCCAGGTTTTTTTTTTCAAAAAATATACTCAATACTCATAAATAATACTGCTTTAAGGTTTTTTTCTTCTAAAAATTTTGAAATTAAAACTTGAGTGAATGTTTTCTCTTAAGTTTCTTATTAACATAGGCTTCTAGATGAACTAGCTATTTAATATAAAATTGAGCTAAAATATTTTTTAGAGATGTCTGTGGATTTTTTTTTTTTGCCTTCAGTGCATATCCTATAACTCATCTTACCCCTGTGCATTCCATTAAAGCCATTTTATTGTTAAGCTACAATTTTTTCCTAATAATTTTCTGTTCTATTCTGTCTGCATAGTTTCTCTGACTCTCAACTTTGTCTTTTTTCTGTGCTTTACTATTCAAACACATGCTTCAATGTTTGTGGCTCTTGCTTACAGGAAGAAGAGGTGGCGGAGTCTGGGGTAAGTGTAGAGATGAACGCAACTGGAATGAAGGTTGTGCAACTCTTAACATATGCTGCATCCCTTTCATTAATGCACGCACATAAAATAGCATGCGTTCTATTAACCCTGTCAACCTACATTCCTGACAAATGCCTTTTTGCTAACAAGGTGAAATAGTTATAGAATTAGCTTTTTTTTGTTGTTGTTTATTTTTCCATTATTGGCATCCTGTAGGGTTTTTTTAGACTTTAATTTAGCAGGATCAGTTAGATGAAGATGGTGGCAATAGTGAATATTTGTTTAGTGCTTGCTATGCGCCATACACTGTTCGAAGCACTCTAAAAATGAATTATCTTATTTAATTCTCCTTCCCCCCCATGAGAAGATATTGTTATTCCAGTGATACAGATGAGAACAGTAAAGTTGCCCAGTCGTAAAGCTCATTAAAGGTGGATCTTAACCTAGTTAATCTGGTTCTAGAATCCATGCCACTTTAGTTTACTCAAAGGCCATAGTTTATAAAAGTAAATCTATCATATGAATGTATAAAAAAGCAAGAGAGGGTCTGTTTATAAAGGTTGCCTTTTCCATCAGCTTCCCAGAAAAGAGGCAATTTTCACCTAACCTATACTGTAAAATTCAACTAGAAGGTTATTTTAATTCCTTGGACCCACTAATGCCTTGAAACTTCCAGTGTTGGCTGAATTTTACTTTAAATTGCTACCTGCTTTAATTAAATACCCCCTTATCTCTCCTTAAAACTATGATAGGATAAACTACCACTTTTGTTTAAAGTAGGTTCTGGTTTCTGCTTCTACACAGCTAGCTGTCTATTTAGAACCGTAGTAAAGGATCTGATAAATCATCTATCTAGTCCTTTTATTTTTAGGTAAAAGATAAGGCTTTTGTAGATGAAAGGATTACAAAAGAATTTTATTATTTTAAGTTTGTCCTAATGAACCATGAGGTTAGACACTTTTATTACATATAGGAAGAAATTTTTTGTGAGCCACTTCCTTTACTTAAGTCTTGTCTTATTTGTGGTCTTGTTTTCTGTTAAAGCTTGGTGAACTTGGCTTTTCTTCTCCTTTTTTCCTTCTCTGTGTGTTTCTCGTGTGTTTTATTCTGTATCATACATATATGTCTTGCTCTTTTCTGGTCCTTCTCAATGAAAATAGAAATTGATACCTGGCATTACTATTGTAGAGAAGAATATTTGGACAGTGTATTTTAGTGGATATTTGGAGTGATTGGATGACTTATGTTAACATATTTACCGTTCATTCAGCTTTATGGTTACATTATATGAGATGCTTAATACTTGGAAAATTTAGATATTTTACATCAGAATAATTTCTGTTTTTGAAGTAGTTTAAAAGATTGTATTGTCATTTATCACAGTGTTATTATACATTAGAATTTTGTATCTATCCTAGAGTTGTTAACATCTGCATTTCTTTGAATCTAAGACATCATCAATCATATGCATTATTTATGTACCACTAAGAAGAAAAAAAAAAGCACTGTAGTGTTCTATTACCACTGAGAATTTTTACTTTACAATTATTGGAAGAACTTTTATAGACTTAAGTGTGGATTTTTTAATCACCTAAAACCCTTGTACATACATAAAAAGGAAAACAAATAAGCAAAGTGAAACTGCTTAGATCTTTTTAAAACTTTTTCTTATTTAGAATATGAATCTTCTGAATCACGTTTATAATCATTAGTTTTTAAAATTGTGTCTCTCTTACTCAGAACATTGCTTCCTGTGCCATCCAGTGTAGTGATACATTTCTTAGACAGCTATAAAAAAGCCAAAAGCTGCTGGTGTGGACTCTTACGCTAATTTTGCAAATAATTAGAGCTGGCCTCCTTTTGACACCTGCTTTGTTCTCACTACCTCTTTAAAAATAATTTGTTCCCTGTAGGTTAAAAGAGTAATTCATTAATAGCATTGGATTTTTTTCTAAGCTATTCTTCAAGTTTTGAGGGTTTTGCATGCATTGGTAGTGATAAACATGTCAGTTTCTGCCTGACCAATGGCAATCGAAAGTTGCCTCCCAGTGTGACACATACCCCTATTATAAAGATCTTAAAATGTGAAAAGAAGGGAAAAAAAAAAAGTTTTTTATTTAATCTACAATGAAAACATTAGGACATTAATGTTTGTTTTTTAAGAGTTTTTTTGCCATAAGGCATGTGTGCTCCCTGAGGAAAGAGAGAGACAAGAGACAGTGAGAGGAAAAGAGAGAAATCACCCCCTGGAGGGATGGGCATGCTGCAATCTGTTCTCCTAGGCATGCACACACAAGTGCCTGGCATGATTTCTAAGCCACCAGGTCTGGGACTTGAGCCACAGTTGGCCATGTGGGAGTCCAGCAACATAACCACTATGCCATCTGCTGGCTCCTAATGTCTATCTTAAGCCTGGTATATGAACACAGAAGAGTAAATTGTATGGTAATTGTGTGTACATTTAGAATTTTTTTAATTGCCAGAGAACATGTGACTCACCAGAGAGAAAGACAAAAAGGGAAGGAAAAGCATCCCTGCAATGAGATGTGATCACACTGCCTCCCTTCTCCATTTCTTCATCTCTTTGGGATTTGGAGCACACTTGCACACACATCTGTTGTGTTTGCAAGCTGGGACTTGAACTACAGTTGGCCATGTAGGGTACAGCTCCCTGAACTACTAAGCCCTGTGGTTGGCCGTATTTAGAATATTTTTATAAATATGAAGCTAATTTAGAAAATACATACACCTTCAAAATAAAAATCAGCTAAGAACTTTTTGTTAGCTAGCCTTGTGGCTGGCAAGAAACGGCATTGCAGTTGCTGTTTCCCATTGATCCTAGATGTAGTCGTTGTAGAAAATGTGCCAAGGAGAGTTGAATTGGGTGAACACATAGTTCATTTGAATTGTGGTTATTTCTACCCAGTTTGCAGTTTCATCACATTAAGAGGCACTGAAAAGTAAGGTCTTAGAATCCAAATACTATCTTATCACCACATAGGTGAGTAGAAGCATTGAATAGCTTTTTAGTGCGTTTCTGATCTCTAATATTAAATGTAGATGCTGTTATTTTCAGCTAATATTTTATTGGTTGTTCTGTTTGAATTTTGACCAAATCTGATTCCTGGTAAAATTGGTCAGCATGTTTAAAGGGAGCCTGCTGTGGACAAAAACAGTGATAATAATACATCAAAACAGCAGAGACCACCAAAGCTACTCTAGAAACTGCCTTGCTGAAGAACCCTGGTGCAGGGTTCTGGCTGAGGATGGATTTGCCTGATCCAGACTTTTGTGATAGCTTCAGATTATGGACAGCCTCTAGGACCAGAAGAATCCTTTCTCTTGGCACAATTGTGCCATGGGTCATGTAGATACAAAACCAGGTGTAATGGAATATATTGCTCAGGAAAATTGCTATCTTATTCTTTGGAATTCTGTACTTTGCCAGATCTTGTTCTTAATTCAGAACATTGCCATGTGTGCCATATTACTTTGCATTAATGCTCTTCATCTTTTAACTCATTTACATCAGCATGCGGTAGCATTAACAGAACAAAATATTTTAATCATTAATCTGCTGTACTTAGTTCTCTTCTTTATAGATCCTCATTGTGATCTCCATCTTCTTATAGGTCATTGAGTCAAGGCAGCACAAATTCAAACATGCTGGATGTTCAGGGAGGAGCTCATAAAAAAAGGGCACGCCGCAGTTCTCTACTTAATGCCAAGAAGCTATACGAGGATGCCCAGATGGCAAGGAAAGTAAAGCAGTATCTTTCCTGTCTGGATATAGAGACAGATGAAGAGAAATTCCAGATGATGTCATTGCAGTGGGAGCCTGCATATGGTACCCGTGAGTACAAGTTTTCATTTATGTGATACTACAGAGCACAGCAGAATTGGGCCAGTAGGTGGCCTGGCAGTTAGGGATCCCACATGGCCATCTGCACAGTTTGAGTTCCAGACCCAGTGGCTTGAGAAACATGCCATGCATATGTACGTGTGCTTACTTGCCCAAAATGCTGAGAGGAGAATGGAGAAGGTATTGCAGTCTGGCCATCCCCACTGAGCGGTGCTTTCTCACTTTCCCTCTCTCTCTCTGTTTCTATCTCTGCCATGTGCCCTACAGCAAAATAAATAGAGTACAGCAGAGTAGAAATTTTATTTCTCTAAAGTGATGCTAAAGTCTCAAGAAAATTGTTAATTTTCTCTCACAAATACTACTGTCATACCCCAACTATCTTGTAATCCTGTTCATCATATACTGAGTCACACTGATTCCTAGTGGTTGTCCTGTACAAACAATACGAGGATCATTATTTCTTCTTTAAAAACCTTGAAAAATTAAAACATAGTAGAGCCACCCTGTTTGGAAACATGTAAATTAATACAACAGTATGCATATATTGCAGGATCAAAGAAATCATGAGTTCTAAGAGGAGTAATCAAAGATGATGAAATATACTCTGTTGACACCAAAAATTCCTCTAGTTACATTAATTCATATATGACAATTTTAAAATACAGGATAAGGAGCCCTTCAATAAGTACTATTATTGAAACAGATTATCACAAATACAGCTACCATAGGAAAAGGCATGGGATGTGATGGAAAGATCGCCTCCTAAAGGGTAGAGACAGAGTTTGAATCTCATTTGCTTTTATTTAAGCTAGATTTTCTTAACCCTAGGATAGTTTTTTCAAATGTAGAACTTTGGCAAGAGTTAGGAGTACACTTTATCTCTGATTTTTTTCTACATTAAACCTATTAAATGTAGAGAAAGATCATTTAAAAAGCTAACAATTATTGAGAGCTTCATGTGTGCCAACAGTCAAGCTAAGCACCTTATGAACTTTGCCATTTACTCCTCAAAGTGACCTCTCAGGTGTGCAATATGGGACTTATATTCTAATGAGATAATGTACCTCCCCAAAAACGTAACTTTTATAAAATGTTGTATTATATGTTATAGTGAAAATTATATATTTATTATCACCCAGAGAACAGTAGACTATTTCCTCATCAGTATGAAGAATGGTATACAGCTATTAAAAATAATGAATGTGCAGCTAGGAGGTGGCACGGTAGTTGAGGACACTGGACTCCCACATGGCCAAGTACAGTTTGGGTCTCAGACCTGGTGGCTTGCTTTCTCACTTTCCCTTTCCATCTCTCTGTCTCTCTGTGATCAACTTGGAAAATAATGATAAATAATTTTAATGATAATAATAAATTTATGTATTTGGGTAAATTTCTTACCACACATCAAGAATAGTTTCAGCTATATAGAAATTATACATATTGAAAGTAAAGATTGAAAGACGGTATAGAACCTTTAATAGATAATTATGTCTTAAAGTTCAAAGCCATATCATATACATATTTAATTTATTGAAGACTTCTGCTCTGCTTTGACTTATTGTCATGGTTACTTTTTCTCAAATATATACCTTATCATCTTGAAATAATAGAACACTTTATTATTCTTACTTTTTTCTAATACAAGGTTGCTTATTTTTTATGCACACACACATACACCTGCATACCTCCTTCTTCTTGTACCTCATAGATCATTGTCTCTTCTCTTAACACTAGTAAGTGTCTTGTGCTATATATTGAATATTGATTTGAAATGAGGAAGCCTGTGGGCCTTTCTTAAATTGAGTTTGAAATTTTGATTTAATGCATATCACTTTAATTTGGTTTGAGAATCTTTATATGATTTCTATTGCATAATAGGTTTTTCAGTGTTTAAATAGTGACTGTCCCAAGCCAGATAGTTGAGTTCTGAGCATTATAAAATTTAATTCCTAGGGGCCAGCAGGTAACATAGTGGTTAAGACTCTGGACTCCATGTGACTCACCACCATTCAAGTCCCAGTGGCTTGAAATTCAAGCTGGGTGTGTGTGTGCATGCATGCATGCCAAAAATCCCAGGAGGAAAATATTGGAGAAGAGATTGTCACATGGCCATTCCTCCGTGGGGTGATTTCTCACATTCTAGCTCTCTGTTTCTCTCTGTCTCTCTGGCAAATGCATGCACCCTAAAGCAAAAATCTCTGGAAAAAAATACGTAAATTTAAATCTTCCTAGTTAATCAGTCTATATGTGCTTTGAACACTTCATCTCTGAATACTTTTATATTTAAAGTAATCTTTTGGTGTTTTGTACTGTACCAATAATCAAAATATCATTGAAGCTGAGAATCAATCAATATTAAAAGGAGAAAATGTGTTTCATGGCTCTAGCCAAGATATTACATCTTGGACTCAAATAGTTGCTGAGTCACTATATATTGTTCCCAGGAATTCCTGGGAACTTGTTCTCTGATTCTCACCACCCAAAATACTTTCTAGATTCTTATAATTAAAACTTAATAGCTAACTATTGTAGTGGAATTGGGACAGGTTAAACTTTTGCTTTTCTCTTGGTGTTTACAATAAATATATCATAAAGTACCGAGGTTGCACCTGCATTTAAACCACCCTAAATAATTGATTAAAGGGGTGCCAGCAGATGGCATGGTGGTTAAGGGCGCTGGACTCCCACATTGCCAACCATGGTTCAAGTCCTGAACCTGGTGGCTTTAAAAAAAATAAATAACTGACTAAAGGATTAAAGTATTACCTGAAGGAAGTATTTGTTTCAGTCAGATTACATAGTGTGTTGATTTTATTTTATGCAAAGGAGGCAGCTATTCGTCTAAGTCAGGGTTAAATTCTGACACTGATTTTTAAATATTCTAATGATGAATTTATAAAAAAATGTTTCTGATATTCCTTGTATAACTGTTGAAATAATATCACCTATTCAACAAATACCTATTAAACATCTGCTTTCAGTTAGTTTCTGGCACATTGGCATATAGTAGTGCCCAAAATGCAGTCCTTGACAGTGGCGTTGTCAAAAATAGTCATGTAGGAACAGTCTGGCTTCACGCCTCAAAGAAAAAAACATAAACAATGAATCAATGCCAAGATAAACACCCAGACTATCCCAAAGATCTAAAGTGAATCCATAACAATTCCTGGGGCTGATGAGCATTGGGAGGCTGAGAGCAGATGGTAGCTGAAATAGACCTTTAGAACCAGGAAGCCCGCCCTCCAAGCTGCCAAGTACTTTGAGGAAAAATCCTCCAGGGTCATGACTTCTACAGTGAAAAAAAAGTGATACGGGAACAGACAATTTTCCCCCATCTCCTAGCTTTGTCTGAGAGAAAATTATTTCTGTATCAACCCATATGAAGCATTCCAAATGTCTGCAGGGCTAAAATTCCTGAGATGGGGAAAAGGGGTGAAGCTAACAAAAGCTGGGCTCCAAACTCAGGAACAGCTCTCTAGTTTGGCCAAAACAACTGTTGTGCAGTGCCAAGGTGAAGGAGGCTGGTCTCACAAATTCCCCAGGCGTGTGTACCCCCAAACCAGGCTGTGAGGGAGGGGTACTGCACCAAACAGAACCTTGTCCAGACCAGTAGCAGCCCTGCACTTACAGTGCCATCTAGTGGCAGTGATCTTGGACTAAAGGAACTCGGCAGTCAACCTGCACAGGACCTCTGGGCAGATACTGTTTTAGAAAATCAGCACAAACAAAACTACACAATAAAGACTGAATAATTACCTAGGTCCTCCTTTGCCAAGAAGTAAACATTCAGAAAAAGTAAAATCAGAGCTATGACCTCACCAGTGGGCAAAACAAGCTCATGAGGTCTGGTTGAGAGGGCTTCCTTGTGTGTCTGCCTCTCAGTCTCTCTCATTCTCTCACATGCATACATGCTATCACAAATAAAAAAGAAAACATTTCAAAATTTGTCAAAATAGAAGTTTTGAAGTAACTCAATAAATCTAAGAAAATACAGAAAGACAATTCAGATCTTCATAAAACATTTAACAAAGTAATTTTTATTTACATAATATATATGCATACACACACACTCTCTATATAAAGCATGTATCGTTAGACCTAACAGAAAAGATAGACTCCAATATAATAATAGTTGAGGACTCCAGCATCCCACTTTCAGCATTGGACAGATCACGTAGGCAGAAAATTAACAAAGAAACATCAGATATAAACAGTTTTATATACCAGATGGACCTAACAGATATCATAGAATATTTCATTCAGCAAATAAAGAATACACATTCTTCAGCGCATAGAACATTCATCAGAATAGATCATATGTTAGATCACAATACAAATCTCGTAGAAATCATGACAAGTGTTTTTTTTCTGACCATAATGAAACAAAATTAGAAATTGGTAACAAGAGGAACACTGGATATTATACAAAGATCTTCAAAGAGTTCATGGAAAATGCATATTCTGAAAAAAAAAAAAACTGCACAGATTCCAAATTTTTTTGCACCAAAATAAGCTTTTTTTTTTTTTTCAGGTTTGCCATAGGATACATGCACTCACCAGAGAGACAGTGAGAGGGAAAGTGAGAAATCACTCCTCAGAGAGGATGGCCATGCCACAATCCCCTTTCCTCCATTTTCCTCCCAGGATCTTGGGCACACATGTACACATGCCCAGCATTATTTTTAAGCCACTGGGTTCGGGACTCAAAACTGTGGTTAACCATGTGAGAGTCCAGTGACGCGACCACTACGCCATCATGCTGGCCTTAGAACCCGCAGTTGTTTAAGGGTAGACCAAATGGCTGGTATTATTTATAAAAACTGTCTCTTTTATAATTATTTAATTGTATTTATTATTTTAATTTGCTACAGAGCATATGCATTCACCAAAGAGAAACAGAGAAAAAGACACAGAGAGAGAAACCCACCAGGTCTGGGATCTGAACTGCAGTCAGCCATGTGAGAGTTCAGTAACTTAACCACTGTGCCACC